TTTGAGCAATTTTTTCGAAGGGTCATTTTCCTTGGATTTTGAAGGATAAAGAGGGTGGATTCGGCCTGAGGCTACTCTTCAATGACGATTAAGTCCATCCACGGCCAATTTGGGCGGATTTCTTCCGGGTCCATTTTAGGCAGATCCCAAAGGGGTACCGTCACAAATTTTGGGCGATTTTTCCGAAATGCCATTTTCTTTCGATTTTGGTGGCTACAGATCACGGATTCGGCTCGAGGCTAGTCTCCACCGATAATAAAGTCTATTGATCCTATTATGCGCTGATGATTAAGTCAATTAAGCACCGAATTGGGCTAATATATTTTGGGATGGCATTTTCGTAATTATTTGAGCAATTTTTTTCGAAGGGCCATTTTCCTTGGATTTTGAAGGATAAAGAGGGTGGATTCGGCCTGAGGCTATTCTTCAACGACGATTAAGTCCATCCAGGGCCAATTTGGGCGGATTTCTTGCGTGTCCATTTTTGGCAGATCCCAAAGGGGTGCCATCACAGATATGGGGCGATTTTTCCGAAATACCATTTTCTTTCAATTTTGGAGGCTACAGATCACGGATTCGGCTCGAGGCTATTCTCCACCGATAATAAATTCTATTGATCCTATTTTTGCGCCGATGATTAGGTCAATTAAGCACCGAATTGTGCCAATATATTTTGGGATGGCATTTTCGTAGTTATTTGAGCAATTTTTTCGAAGGGTCATTTTCTTTGGATTTTGAAGGATAAAGAGGGTGGATTCGGCCTGAGGCTACTCTTCAACGACGATTAAGTCCATCCAGGGCCAATTTGGGCGGATTTCTTCCGCATCCATTTTTGGCAGATCCCAAAGGGATACCATCACAGATTTCGGGCGATTTTTCCGAAATGCCATTTTCTTTTGATTTTGGAGGCTACACATCACGGATTCGGCTCGAGGCTATTCTCCACCGGTAATAAAGTCTATTGATTCTATTCTGCGTCGATGATTAAGTCAATTAAGCACCGAATTGGGCCAATATATTTTGGGATGGCATTTTCGTAATTATTTGAACAATTTTTTTCGAAGGGTCATTTTCCTTGGATTTTGAAGGATAAAGAGGGTGGATTCGGCCTGAGGCTACTCTTCAACGAGGATTAAGTCCATCCAGGGCCAATTTGGGCGGATTTCTTCCGGGTCCATTTTTGGCAGATCCCAAAGGGGGTACCATCACAGATTTCGGGCGATTTTTCCGAAATGCCATTTTCTTTCGATTTTGGACGCTACAGATCACGGATTCGGCTCAAGGCTATTCTCCACCGATAATAAAGTCTATTGATCCTATTCTGCGCCGATGATTAAGTTAATTAAGCACCGAATTGGGCCAATATATTTTGGGATTGCATTTTCGTAGTTATTTGAGCAATTTTTTCGAAGGGTCATTTTCTTTTGATTTTGAAGGATAAAGAGGGCGGATTCGGCCTGAGGCTACTCTTCAACGACGATTAAGTCCATCCACGGCCAATTTGGGCGGATTTCTTCCTGGTCCATTTTTGGCAGATCCCAAAGGGGTACCATCACAGATTTCGGCGCAGAAAGAAAACCAAAGTATAGTGAGTCTTATGATCAATGAATAAAGCAAAATACTTGAATCCCATGCGAGAAGTGACCGGAGAGGGACCCCATAGGTCTGTATGCACTAGATCAAACGGAGCATCATACTCAGTATCACTGATCGAAAAAGACTGTTGAGACGCCTTGGTCTCAATACAACTCACACAATTAGACCGAGAACCAAAAGAAAAATCAAATTTCCCAGGAAGCAAATTCTAACGAAACATTGTTAACAATCTGGCCGAATTCGGATGGCCTAACCGACAATGCCATAATTTCAAAACCGAAGCATTCTTAGAAAAATCCAAATCAACAACAGAATTCACAGTGTTAGACATCTGACCAACTAACTCTTTGCCCTTGCATGTCGCTCCAACCTCCGCCGTTCCTTGAGCTTTACTAACATCTCGTGCTTGTCCAGCCAGCTGTTGCAACTCATCAAGAACAAAAATTCTGCCATGCTTACTTCCCTTCCCGATCACTGTCACCGTCCTCTTGTCCTGTACCACACAACCAGTATTATTAAAAGTAACCTTGCAACCATATACCACAACACTAACACGCCCCCTCAAACGAAAGCCACTCACAAGGGCTTGAAGTTTGCACAGGTCTGAAGACAAGAATACCATGTGCTTAACAAATGGGGGTCACCGGGAATTGAACACAAGACCTCTCGGTCACAGAAGGCTCTGATACCATGTCAAATCTAAACAAAGAACGAAGACACCGAGTTTAACGTTGTTTCCCTGATCAACAGGACTAGTCCATGGGAGAGCCGTAACTCTCCAAGTCAATATTATTAGCTTCGTTAATTAGGTTACACGGTACGTTGTACATATATATAGAGATTCCATAACCCTAACTAAGGCATAATTACAAAATGGTACTTATATTTCAACAGTATCATGGAAAGCAACTCCGAGTTATCATTCATGTTTAATTGAAGACAACTTGCCAATGCATGATTTAGCTTACATCTTTTGGCATTGTCCAATTGCATTGAAATTTAAGTTTATTCACTTAATTATTTGCTTAGCTAGTTAGCTACCTGCAATTCATGTTTCTTCTTTTCGTTATTTGTACCTCGGCTGAATAATTAATTTCATCACGCGAAACGCTGATATCATAATTATTAATTTGTCAACCAACAATGTTTGGGTTTTAGTTTTATTTAATTAAAGGCCACCCTGAGAATTGGTGAGCTACATGCTTCATTCTATGAGAAGCTCATGAAGGTCTCAACAAATGTGAATAGAAAGTCATGATTGCTATGGTCTTACCCCAATGCAAATTAAGGAGTGTAGGTTACAAGTTGTACACCTTATAAATTCAGTATATGCTTTTATTTCCTCACATATTACAAAGAATGCATTTGGCCATTTATAGAAATGAAGTTCACGAAACAGAACTTTGTGTTTCTCCCATAGATTTACATTGGTGTTGTCATATTTACGTTTAGCTTTAATTCACCTACGTAGCCATAACTTTCACGATTTTGACAAATATAGCCACTTTTTGAAAAATACACAGATATAGTCATTCCGTCTATAACTTTAACGGAATAGTAATAAATACTGACTGTACTAACGATTTTGGCTGACATGGTGATTGTTCATAAAAAACTATGCCTAGATGTAAATTATTCTTTTTTAATTAATTGAAAATTCCTAAAAACTACTATTCCCTTCCGCCGCTTATGCTTTTCCTCTTCCTCTTCCTCGCAACTCTCAACCTCCCACCTCTATTCTGTCGTGTCTTCAAGCTCTCCTCCCTCAATTGATTCAAGAAACCAGATCGCATTGAAAAATCCCAAATCGTTTGAATTTTCACCCTCAATAGCTCCATTGAAGCTCTGTAGACTTCTTCCCCTTCCTCTTCTTCTCTCGTCGCTGCCAATTCTTCAGCCGCATCGACCAGCTCCGTCGCCGACCAGAAGCAAGCGAGCCAGAGGACTCGACGCAGGCGGACTGCATTCCGTGACGACAAGGATCGAGACGACGAGGGCTGGGGTGCTTCAATCCGGCCAAGATTACAAGAAAGAGAAACCCATTTAACAGGGAGAGAGAGGTATGTGGCGCCGGCGGTGGGAGGGAGGAGTGAAGGAGGGAATGCGTTGAGCTTGGACGGTTTGAGTTTTTGGATTTTGGGTTGCGGTGATGCTTGGTGGGTTCTAGGTTTCTGGGTTCCACAACATCCCCACACCAGCATCGATTTTTTGTTCGTTGAGATTCCAATGTCGCTGGTTCTGGGTTTTATGGGGAAACTGGGTTCTTTATTATAGTGGCAGGCTGGCAGGAAGGAGTGGCGACTTGCAGCGAGGGGGAGCTCCAGATCTGCACTTCGGGTCGGCGACGGAGCTGTGGGTGCGGAGGGAGGGGTGGCTGCTTCGACGATCCAGAGCGAGCAGGGTCGTTCTCATTCATGGCCGGGATTCGACAGCATCATTAGCGGAGGAGCCTAGGAAATTTTATCCTGCCGCTACTAGTGTGAAATAGCCCAGGATAATTGATGGGGAAAGAGAGAGGGTTTGAAGGGAGGAATCATGAATTTGGATCTGGTGAAGAAGGGGAGGGGAATTTGGGAAGAATATGTCTTATAAAATGTTTATTTCTTTTAAAATGTTTTATTTTAATTTTTTAGTAAAATTAGTTATTTTTTGTTTAAAAATCTACTTTTAATATGATGTGGCGTATGACATGGCGTCTAGGTGGCATGAATATGTCTAGTTGGTGATGACGTGTCATGCAAGTGGCATCCACCTCAGCGACACGTAGATGTTATTAACGGCGTCTATGACGATGTTATAATTTGTAACAGAAATGGTTAAAGTTGACAATCAAGTTTCACAAAAATAGCTATATTTGTCAAAATCGTGAAAGTTATGGCTATGCAAGTGAATTAAATTTAAAATGGTCAGGAGTTCTCGTTCAGAATGTATTTGTTTGTCCAAAAGGTGCAGGTTAATGTTGTACCGAGGGAGTTTTCAAGTCATTATGTTTCTTATGAAATATGCATCCCTCGCCCCTATAATAATTTTCATTTACCTATTTTGTTTCTAGGCTTTTTCCTGTATGAAATTTTTTTATCGTGAACGAACCTTCATGCATTCCTCCTCTTTATGTTACATCATTAGTACATTATGCAAAGTTAGGTGTCGTTTGGAAGTTGCGATTGTTAAATAGATGTATTGTTGAGAATGCATGTATAATATTATACATGTATTGTCGAATTTGATGCATTGTAGAATACAACGTTTGGTATTTGTGATTGTGTATGTCGGATCAGCTAAAAGCTTAGACAAAACCATCTCAACTCAACTATCTCAACAATCACAACTAAAAGTTGAGATATAACAATCACTCAAAATGAGTGATAGTTTCCGTCACATCACAGAAACAATCCATGTATAGTTTCTGCTAAAAAAACAAAAAAAACGATACATTGTAAACAATACATATAATGACAATCTCAACAAAACTATCGCAACTTCCAAACGATCCCTTAGATATTTATTTTTTTTAAAAGCACAAATTATTATATGCATCTTCAATACATATAATTCAAATAGTTATTAAACTCTGTCGGCCAACGAGCGAGGCCCAGTACTAGTTACAAGAATACAGGGGAAGTGAAAACTTAGATCAACCTTGGATGCTGAAGGATTCACTTCACCGCCCATCCTTTTGCTCGGTTCACGCAGGGACGGCTTCGACGAGCCTGGCAAAGTAGAACTGCGTAGTGATGAGGCCTCTCTTCCTTATTCTCCACCCGACCTTCTTCAAAGCTCCCTCCACTTCTGCCTCCGAATGCAGATACGCCCTGGTGGCCTTGGATGGCCCTGGAAACAGCTCCCCAACTCTCTTCAACAAATCGTAGTAGAATGTCTTGGGCGCAAAGCTCAATATCAATCGATTCTCGGCCAACGACGCCAGATGCGCAATCATCCCGTCGGCTTTGCTCTGCGGGTAATGAATCAGAACGTCCAGGCATACCACCGTGTCGTATTTCCCATCTAAGCTCTCCAGATCCTTCACCATGAATTTCGGCATTACAACATCTCCTCCTCCCAACTGCTCTTTCGCCTGTAATCACAAATTTCGTAATCAATGGGCTCTTAATTAAAGAAGGAAGGTCCGAAATTGGGGGTTTTTAGAGCAATTGCTAATTACGGACCTGCTTCTCGGCCTCGGAGACCATGGCGGCGGAGATGTCGCTGGCGGAGACGATTGCGCCTTCTCTAGCGAGTGGAATCGAGAGTGAGCCCAGTCCGCAGCCGGCGTCGCAGACGGTGACGCCTTGGAGAGAGCCCTCCTCTTTCAGCATTACCATCGTGTTCTCGACGGTCTTCGCGTGTCCCAGACGAATGTCGCGCTGCACGCGGTTGACGTCGTCGGTCTCTCCGTAGATCTTCCGCCATCGCTGGAAGCCGGAGTTGTTGAAGTACTCCCTCACCACCTCCTTGTCGCCGCCGCCGACTTCCACGGCTTGGAGCTTGCGCCGACGCTCCGGATCCGTGAAGGACAGCACGGCTGCGAGTGCGGCGACGGAGCCGCCGCCGATGACTGCAATTGTTGTCTCGTCCAGAGGAGGCAGATCCATGGGAGTGGCGGTGGAGAGGGGTGGAATTGCGGCGACGGTTACAAATCTGGAGAATCTGGTCTTGGCGGAGAGCGGAGAGAATGCGGAGGAGGCGAGATGGAAGGAAATAGGAGCGAATAAGGAGGAAGCGTGCGCCATTGTTTTGCAGTTACTGTCAGCTCCGGCCGGCGAACAGCTTTTTTTTGTGGCGCCTCCACTGGTTTAGTGTCTTTCCTTCCTTCGTTTCTGCGGATAAGAAAGCTATCTCTTCTGATTTCCTTGTGTCCCGTCAAAGGTCATGCCGCGTTTGGCGTAAATGTCCACCAAAGGGATGCCTATGGCTTTATAGTGGGCCTGTCGATGCAGTAAGAGCTCTCAGTCTATTTTTATGTTACTTCAGGCCCATAACTTTTCGCGTGGTATGGACTAGGCCCAGCCCAACTAAACAGAACGACCGTCTGCCGTCGCGGGAGAAAGGAAAAAATTCACATTCTAGAAAACTCCACGAATCGATACCAAAGGTTCCCTACCTGCCTCGGTTTTCTTCTTTCCGCGTCTCTCTTTCCCCATCCGTCTGACCAAATCCCTATTCGCCGGCAGCTCTCGCCTTCCTCTTCCCCTCCGGTTGAGGTTCGTCGGATTCTTCTTTCTTTCCATCAGGGCTCTTCCTCGTTGCGCGCCCCGGTCATTCATTGGCCTAGATCGAAATCCGAGCGCGGCCATCTCCTTCCCGAATCTCGCCTTCGTAGGTTCGTTCGTTCCTTCGACTCTTTTGAATCGATAGTTTCAACTTTTCACCGCATCTAGGGATGGCAATTTTGCCCATACCCATGGGTATTTTACTATCCAATCCAATTGGGTTGGGTATGAAATCCAAATATATGGATATGGGTAAAGTTTAATGGGTTTGTACCCATATCCATTTACTTTGGGTTGGGTTTATAACAAATGGATTTGGGACTGTACCCATGCCCAAATACAAATTACAGTTTGGTACCTAAACTTAATAGATATGCATATTTAGTACCTAAATTTAATTTTTTTTGCATATAAGTCCTCAAAGTATCGATGGAAAATTGCATTTTGGTACCTAAATTTTTTTGGTCTTACATTTTGGTACCTAAAATTTTCAAGTTTTACAAATAAGTCCAATTTTTGCATGTGTAGTTAAAACATCCTCAAGTAAATGGATATCCATATCCAACCCATACCCATTTAGATAATATCCATATCTTACCCAAACCCATATACACATCACCCAAACCCTACCCATAATAAATGGGTCTACTTGGGTTTGGGCAAAATTACCCATGGGTAGGTAAATTGCCATCCCTAACCGCATCTGATCTGATATTAGATCGTTAGTTAGCACGATTGCATAGCTGAATTTAGTCTTCATAATACCCAACTACGACTGTTGATGGTCCTTGCTTGCGATCAAGTTTGTATTTGTCTCTGACTTTGCTTTAATTTTCTGCAGATCTGCCTCAGCTGGAGTTCTTGCTATTTGGGAGGGTTTTGAAAGGGTCTGTGCATCCCTTTTCCTGCATATTAGGTAAGAATGTTTGAATCAAATTCATGTCGATCAAAATTTTGATGTTCTCTCCATTTACTGATACCTGGCCGTGTTCAAGTGTTCTTCTTTATGGGAACCATGATGATCGAGTAGCTAACAGTGCCTTTTCTCTTTTGTGAGACACACTTCTCGGCCATCATACACAAAATGCAGTTGATAAGCTCTGGTCTTTGTACTCGTAAATGGACTGCAAGAAGTTCATCCAGTTGGTGGAGGAGAAGAAGAGGAGAGTCCTGGAGAAGAGAGAAGCCCGTCTGCAATGGGAGCAGAAGCTAGAAGCCGCTGCTGCTGCAAAGGCGAAATCTGATGCTGAGCGTAGAGAGCGGAAGCTCAAGGCAGCTTCCAAGCATAAAAAGGACAAGAAATCCAACAGTGGGAAGCACCGGAGGCGGTCCTCTGACTCGAGCAATGATGAAAACAGCAAATCGGAAGAAGAGTACGAGAGGAGAAAGAGGAGACACAAGAAGCACAGGTCCCATGAGACGAGAGTCGACTCTTCAGAAGATTCCGAGTCATACAGTGACAGTGATGATGATGCAAGCAAGAGAAGAAGCCACATGAAGCGACACAAAAGCAATCACCAATCACCATCATCATCATAGACACCATAGGAGGTCTGATTCAGAGTCTAGTGATACTGATTCATCGGTGCGTGAAAAGCGTCGTAAACATCACAGGCGGTCTCGTAGCATGGAATCTGATGAATCTGATTCTGATGGGCATGGGGATCGGCAGAGGAGCAGGTCGTGATCAGATAACGGCTTCGATGGGGCGAGGAAGAGGGCATGGAATGAACCGAGATAGCAGCACTGCGCCTAAATAGTGAAGATTGGGGTTCTTTTCTTTCAATTTCAAAAACCATTTGACTCAGATCTCTGTCTCGTGACTCCAATGATTCAACTGGACACATTTCTCTCGTCATTGGCTATTATTACCTTTTTGGTTAAGTCTGTGTCTATCACACAATAGTCACTCATCATCTGATTCCTCCTTTATTGCCAGCCCAAACCATTACAGAAGAGCAAACTGTAACATATAGTATATATAGTTGAGAGCATGAGCAGTAACGGTGATGAAGCTCTGCATCTGCTATTAGGAGGAACATTCGACGGGGAATCCTTGAGGGAAGCGTTTGGAATCGGTGCAGTAGTTGTAAATCATGTAGTTCTGCTGAACCCATTTGATCTTAGCTTGGCCGTCGGTGTCCAAGGATTGGGAGAGCCACGAGCTACTGTTCGCATTGGAAGAGTCGGAGCAAGAGGTGGTTGTCGTGGAAGGAGACCAAACGCAGGCCTGGGCCTCGTAGTTGGCGTAGGAGGCGACGAATGGGGCCTGGCTCCAATCGGTCTTTACCAGGCCGCCCCTTGTGGCCCAATCCTCGGCGTCCCAGAGGCTCGAGTAGACCCACATCGGCTGCTTCTTTGGGAATGGGACACCCTTGGCTTCCAAGTTCTTGAACTCTCTTATTGGCGTCCCGTCCACATAAAATCTGTTCCCCACCACAATAAGATAGATATAGCACTTGGTAATGTTGGTTGTAATTGCATAGACATTCATACTAGTGTGATTTACCATTCAATCAAGAAATTATGAACGTGCTAAAGTAAGTATGACTACTAACATGATGGTATGAGGATTCCAGAGGACGGAGTAGGTGTGGAAACCCTTGGTTGGATCGAACCACAAGTAGAATTGTTGCTCCTTATTTCCTTTTCCTTCAGCAAATATGTTGGTGTGGAGGGTGTAAGGATCTCCACTTAAATTTCCCAAGAACTCAAAATCAATTTCGTCATGTGTTGACCCCAATGAGGATAGCTGTCATTTTGTCATCGTTAACAAAATATCTCAAAGCATACATGGTAGTAATCAATTAGTTCTTTCATCCCTTTTAAAACTAGCACAAATCAAACCATCATTGATCCATTTCATCGAAGTTGATACAGTCGGAATTGGTTCGAGGTCCAACTCCACCGGTTTCTCATTTGTGCTAGTTTTGGTGCAGTTATTATTGTAGAAGCTAAGGTCATGTATAGAGACAATAATATTATCTTTTACAGCTCAAAAAACTTGGAAGAGTCATAAAACGTGCTGAAGAGGGTTACCGTACGTTTTGAGGAAACAGCACTTACGTAGTAGGTGGTGACGGTGCCGGCGGAGTTACCGGCGACGAGCTTTATCTGCATGTCGATCTTCCCGAACAAGTACTGGTTCTTGGACCGGAAGCCGGAGCCGGAGGTTTTGTCGAGGGACAGGGTGAGGAGGCGGCCGCCGTTGAGCACTTTTGCGCGTCCGTCCCCCCACGTGATGTCGAAATCCCGGTTGAAATCCCCGGCGGCGGCAGCGGGGATGAACATCATCATCATAATCATGCAACTCGTCGCGATAGCTACCATAATCGTCACTATAGTGCTTATCAAAGTAGCCATGGTTATCTTGTTGGAAGAGTAATTAAGCTAGAATGAAATAAGTTGTGAGTATATTATATGATTGTTGTGCATGGGTATTTATACTGCTGCCTTTCGCCCGCCATGGGTAATGCAAATGTATAATTTCTTTTTAAAATCATGAATAAATTAATTCGATACCTATAAATTGCTTTTACGTATCATATTATCTATGTGGTACTAATATATAGCGGTTTGAGCCACGTCAAAAAATCATATATTCTTTTATATATTATATGCGGTTATAAGAGGTTTGAATTTAGAGTACATGATCAATATTATTATTATTGAGTTACTAGCTACTGCACACTAGTTTAATTAACTGGTAAATCATTTTTCCTTAAACATGTTTATACATAACATATAATCTTAGCACGATGATATTATGATCATCTATATTTACTATTTATTGCCAATGCGGCAATGCATGAGCATAAAAAAGACAACCTCTATATTTTATGATTTAACACTGATTAATAGTGGAAAAAGTTGTAATCAGTAGTTAAAATATCGAAGTGTAGGTTAGAAAATCCGATCGAACACTCCAACAGGTAATTGCATATATGGTGGTGGGAGAGGTGGGTAGGAAATTTGGAATTATAGTGGGAAATTAATGGTGGCGGGGACGTCTAATTACCACACTAAACATATAATTAATTGGACAGTTTGAGGGTGTTAAGAGGGTGCCCGACAGCTAATGACAGATGTTGATATATCTGAAAGTTATCAGATACCTGGCCTTTTGCCTCTAATTACATTAAATTTCTTATATGTAAGTTTGTAACCCTCACTCAAACTTGAATTGGCTCATCTGTAATCTATATGCTTATAATTCATAACATGTATTATGTATATTAGTCTTTTTAAGCTTCTTGACTTCAATATATATGACAAAAGAATCCAAGAGGGTCGACATGTTAGTAATTATTTGGTTTGATAATTAGCCTAAATAAAAGGGTTTAGCAATAGAACTCATAGACATTATACGATATGTATTAGAGCCATGTCAGAGCCAACAGAAATCTGTATGTTGGGTTAAGAGGGATTTGAATTATGGTAGTTGTGGATTTGTGGTAAGTTGGGGTGTTGAGGGCACGATTAGTGTTAAGGGGTAGTTTAGTATTTTGTTATGTTAGGTCGCTTAAGGTTTTGAGTCAGAGTCTATATAATGTACTTTATCATTCAATTAAGGAGTCAGTCAAGAAATAATCAAAAAATAGTTTACGTATCTCCCAACCCTAATTTCCTCTCTTCTCTCTAAATCGGTCGCGCCGCTGGCCACTTCTTGCTCTTCTTCTCTCCAAATCTTCGTCAAATCTCTCCCTATTTTTGTTCTTAATCACATCCTGTTACGATAATCTTGGGTGCCAAGATCCACACCTACAACATGGGGTGACGGAGTCTTACTAACTAGTCTATTTTTCAAAATTGTAATTTTACATGTAATTTTACCTACATGTGATCAAGAAGACTGGATTTAATGTGGCTCTGCCACAATATTTGAGTGATACCATGTGCTTTATTCAACTGTTAATATTAGGGGTCGTGGATATTCGAACACACAACCATTTGGTCAAACCAGTTCTGATACCATGTCATAAACCAGTTGGACCCAATAACTCGAGTTGTTGGAATAAAGTTATGTTGAATTTAAACCACTCACTAACAAGATAGACTTTCCATACTCGTCATAAACGTAAAATGTTTGATTATACGGTGTATTTTTTTAATAAGACAAACTACCAATGATCAAATTCTATACGATAGGGTAGATCCTTATTACATTTACATACAAGACTAAGATGTTTTGTAAACATGCTCATTAAATAAAGTATATAGCATGCAAATTGCAATGCCAGTGAGCTTTGTTCCTTTTATTATTATTAGTTAGTGTATTTTGTTATCAATTTGATAATATTTGTAAGGGCTACAATATTAAGTATCTTTCATCACTATTTGGATGTATACATGTGATGATGTACGCCATGATGCTGATGTGTATATATCACGAGCTGCCAATAATGAATAATATGTGTCTTTGTTAGAAGGAATTATACTCTTCATATTTTGTGTATATGCAATGAAGGCCTTGCTAATTAATTAAGCAACTCATTGGTGCATGGATTTAACCACTCGTGAGGACAGCTAGCTTTGGTATCATACTTTTGTGATTGAGAGGTCTTATGCTCGAATTCCCTTGATCTTATCTGTTCTGTTAAGCACATGGTGTTCGCAGTTGTGCAAACTTCAAACCTATATAATTGACTTTCGTTTGAGGGGTGTGTTAGCAAATGATATATGATCAACAATTGAACATCTTCCAACAACTCGAGTTGTTGGGATAAACGAGTTAGTATCACTTTCCTTATCCATTAATTCATCTAAAATATTAGAATTTTAAGGCTAAACCCCACTTGGATAAAAGAAAGTAACTAATTCGGATATATACCGGTTTGGTTGAAAGTATAATAAGCTAGGATAAAATAGAAGTTGGAGACTCAAATCAAAACTGGACGATAAAACGTAAAGACGAGTCAAGTGAACATGTCATGTTCGACTTAGATAATAAGTTGCGATAAAATAAAATAGAAGTTAGAGACTCGAATCAAAATTGGATAGTAAGACCTTAAGACGAGTCAAGTGAACATGCATTTTTACCATTCCCTAATAACCAAATATTGAAATTAACTTCTTCAAAATAAAAATAAAAAAGTAACATTAATTAATAGCCATGTACACTCGTAGTATAAGCACCCCATTTTGTTTTCTTTCTCCTCTCACTCATTTTATTATATGGTGGAAAAGAAAAAAAGAGTTTAAATTATAATTTTTCCATGAACGATTTAGGGATATGAATGCCACATAGCTAGCTAGCTAATTAATTATCTTGGAATGATAGATATCCTTTGTGTTGTGTCCCATGCTAAGAAGAAGGTCCCTTTTCCTGGCTAACCATAGTTGTTTGCAGGCTATGAGCATCACTATGCTTGCATCTGCATGGTTCCACCCGGATATAATAGCGTGTGAAGCAAACCAATACATGTAGTTTGTTACTATGCCAGTTAGCCTCCAATAATTTATTAATTTTGGATAAACCATTAGTCAAGAACGAAAAGGACACGTACATACTCTGTTTGCAGTCCAGCTGGCATAATGACCACTGTTTGCAGTCCAGCATGCAATTAATATTGTTAGCTAATCCTAATCATCTTGATAGGAATTAAGTAATAAACTGTATTGTAATTAGCGAAGAAAAACCACGAACGTTCTCATCTCGGGCTGAGCATAATGACCACTGGGCCTTCTCGTCTTGGCCCGATGAGAGAGGTTGGGTCATATATAATATTCAGGAGAGTGAAGCCCGGCCCGCCCAGTTCGTGATCCGATCCAACTCGATCGAGAGAAGAGAAGCACCTTGTTCCTGGTTGGAGACAAATACGTGTATGCATGGGATGGGAATATTTTGGTGAGCAGAGCCAGAGCCAGAGCCAGAGCTTAAGCTTATCCTTGTAGTTTGAAAACCTTTTGATGGGATGGGCGCTGAGCTGATTCCTGCCTGGATCGATGTGGTCCGCTACTCTTCTCTTTTTCTGGTTCTCTGATACATATATATGGAGATTTTATCTTTTTTTTTATAATTATTTTGGGTTCAGACGACACTGCAGTTTTGGGGATGAAGATAGAGGAAAAGAGAAACGAGGGTATGTGGCTCGGCAATGTGTCCCATGCTTAATCGGTCTCTCTCTCTCTCTTCGACCTTTCATACATACCTACGGCTACGGCTCTATTCATTTCATTTCATTGAGAGAGTTGTATTACTATATAGTCTATACTATACAAACGGGTAAATGACACATTTGGTCACTGAGATTATTAAATTGTGTCATGTTTAGTCACTAGAAAGGATTAATATCAATTTTGGTCACTCGAATTACCGAAACTGGTCAAATTTAGTCACTCTCCCGTCAGTTTCCGTCCAACTCCATTAATGTAGTTGGACGGAAACTTTTGGGAGAGTGACTAAATGTGACATGTTTCAGTAATACGAGTGACTAAATGTGACATTTTTCAATAATTCGAGTGACCAGAGTTGGACAGAGGCTACAGAAGAGTGACCAAATGTGACCTCTGTCAGTAATTCGAGTGACCAAAATTGATATTAAATTTTTCTAGTGACTAAATATGACACGATTTAGTAATCTCAGTGACCAAATGTGTCATTTACCCCTATACAAAGCAAGTAATCTTACTAACTGACAACGTATCCGGGTCGGAAAGGAAAGCGGTCCCCGGCCGGCCTGACCCGAACATGTCAGATATATCTAATATGGAGGGGAAAGAAAGAAAGAAAGAGGCCCATTTTGTTTGGAAGTGGGCACCACGGTCTCGCTAGCTACCACTACGGGCTAGCTAATTAGTTGGGGAATGGATATTGGAGCGTAAAACTGACCAGATAATCACTTAATCAATCCAAGATTATATTAAGCCCAGCTTCGCTTGTTTGTAGTTACTATGTCAGATTGATTTAAATGGGTACATTACAAGCCCAGCTCTGTTAGAGAGCCAGTTACGTACGTTTGGCGCTTAAGCCCTAATTAAGCCCCTAATCTCATCAACCCTACCTATTATATTAACTACGTGCATAAATAATTGGTACGTAACAGGCTTATATAGCTTGTCCGTTTGATTAAGAAGTGGGAACGGGTCATACATATATTATGAACTATGTGAATAAGTAACTCTAACGTACACTACAGTACCATTCTATATATGCTTGACATCCAGTTGAGCTTGGTGCTTAACCGTAATTAATTTGGTAATCCCTCCCTGTTAAATACGTGCATGCATAGATATTTGGTGGAGTGGAGGTGTTGACTTACATGCTTACCTTGTTCATCAACGACGAGTTACTTACATGCAGTGTTGTCACGCCGGCCGGCGTGCCACTGGTTGAACCTGGTTCAACCTGTACCGGTCATAAAACCGGTATGAC